AAGGGAAAAAAAGAAAGCCTTTTTCCATTTGGAGCCTTACCCAAGGCAGGGAGAAAGGACGCAATCTTCAAAAATAGTGCTGGACAAGCCTCTGCAAGCGCTGCTCAGAGGGGCCCGATGCTTCCCTTGCACCATCGGAAGACTGGCGGAGGGTCCCCCTGGGTGAGCGGCATTCCGAAGCTTGCTGATCGTGCAGGAGGAGGCTGAACTATAGAAGGAAGACATGTGGGATGTCTTTCTGTATTGGTGACAGGAGAAGATGGACCTTTGTAAGTAGTGGTGACTTGTAATGATGTTTGAGGGAGGCCTTTGGAAGACTGGAATGTTTGGATTTGGAATGTTGAAGAGCTGGTAAGGAACGTTTTAGAGTCGGTTTGGCTGGAAGAGTAGAATAGGTCAGTACGGAATGTTGGGGATCGGTGTCGGTGTCAGATGGAGAGAGTGATGGTGAATATCGAGATGGATATGGTAGAGTAGGGCATATTGGTCTCATTTGGGTTCCTCATAGTATAGTTGTTCCTGAGGATCTTCAATTAAGTAAAGATCATATTGATACTATCTCTCCCTCTCTTCATATTGTGATGATTGTGGGTAGTAGCAATACTCCCGATGAGGAGGGTCATACCGAGGAGGTGAGATGTGTTTTCATTTCTCTTGGTGCTTCCTCAAAGAGTGGTGTGGTGACTCAGAGTCAGAAAGCTTGATCGGAATTGCCCGCCCTGATGATGCAGGCCTCGAATGGGCCTAGTCCTGGCTGGATTGCACATCAGCCGGAGAAAGGCCAACACTAGGCAACACACTACTAGATCGATGCTGGAGCTTGGGCCACTGGTAAAGAAGGGTTGTCTCTCTCAGAAGTGGACCCTGGAGCATCTCTGGATGGGAGATGAAAAAGTTGGCTGTGGTGGTTCAAGATGAGTTGATTTGCTCTTTTTTGTCTTTTTTGATGTCGCTTTGTCCTTATTTTTAGCAGCGGAGAAAGGAGGGAAAAACGGTTGAGGGGGGACGGAAAGGCAAAACACGGGTAGATAAAAATTGGAAAGAACTCACAGGGGAATGTCAAAATAAAGTATAATACAGTAGTAAGTAACGATCAAAATAGAATACGATTGTTTAGAATGCTCTGACTGATTAGAATGCTCTATTTCTCCGAAACAAGCTGGATTTTGAAGGGGCAGAGAAACTAGAGACCAAATTGCTAACATGTGCTGGATTATGGAGAAAGCCAGAGAGTTTCAGAAAAACATCTACTTCTGCTTCATTGACTATGCAAAAGCCTTTGACTCTGTCGACCACAGCAAACTATGGCAAATTCTTAAAGAAATGGGAGTGCCTGACCACCTTATCTATCTCCTGAGAAACCTATACGTGGGACAGGAAGCAACAGTTAGAACTGGATATGGAACAACTGATTGGCTCAAAATTGGGAAAGGAGTACGACAAGACTGTATATTGTCCCCCAGCTTATTTAACTTATAAGCAGAATACATCATGCAAAAGGCCAGTCTGGAGGAATCCCAAGCCGGAATTAAGATTGCCAGAAGAAATATCAACAACCTCAGACATGCAGATGATACCACTCTGATGGCACAAAGTGAGGAGGAATTAAAGATCCTCATAATGTGGGTTAAAGAGGAGAGAGCAAAAAACGGTCTGAAGCTCAACATCAAAAAAATTAAGATCATGGCCACTGGTCCCATTACCTCATGGCAAATCGAAGGGGAAAAGATGGAGGCAGTGACAGACTTTACTTTCTTGGGCTCTGTGATCACTGCAGATGGTGACAGCAGCCACAAAATTAAAAGACGCCTGCTTCTTGGGAGGAAAGTGTTGACAAACATAGATAGCATCTTAAAAAGCAGAGACATCACCTTGCCAACAAAAGTCCGCATAGTCAAACCTATGGTTTTTCCTATTCATTTGGAAGGAAATCAACAGTGAGTGCTCACTGGAAGGACAGATCCTGAAGCTGAGGCTCCAATACTTTGGCCATCTCATGAGAAGAAAAGACTCCATGGAAAACACCCTGATGTTGAGAAAATGTGAAGGCAAGAGGAGAAGGGGACAATAGAGGATAAGATGGTTGGACAGTGTCACTGAAGCGACCAATTCCGGGAGGCAGTGGAAGATAGGAGTGCCTAGCATGCTCTGGTCCATGGGGTCACAAAGAGTCAGACACAACTAAATGACTAAACAACAAAAACAACAATAATTTACCCAAAACAGGTCTGATCAACACAGTGGAAAAAAGGAACTGAGGGGACTTAGGATGGGCGGAGCATGTGCTCCATGGGGGAACATCCCACTAATCACATGTCTTTAAGCTCTAGAAACTTCTGAGATGTTCAGCGCAAGCTCAGAACAACCCAATTGTGTCCATTCACAGAGGCCACGAAGAAGAACCTTAATTAACGGGGAAAGGAATCAACTGGTCAAGGCTGACCATCTGTGTACCTTGGACTAATAAAACAAGTCTATCAATTCTGTCGCCTGCAGAATTATTCTGTTTCTACTACTAGACACTATAACAGGCAGAGGATCTAGTGAACATACATAGACGTGTCAATGTTTTGCAAAGCAGGGTTTTTGAACAACCTCTCAGTATCAGCACATAGCTTCTGTTTCTCTAACCTTTGAGTATGAGATTTAATTCTGACAAACAGGCAGAGCCATCTACCTTTCTAATGTTTTGGTATTAAGTTAGAGCTAAGATAAAAGATCCCATCTGGTAAATAAAATCTTAACTATAATCTACAACACATATGCTTTACTTGAATTGCAGTATTAACTATTATTTCTTTTCACCACTATATACAGTAATTATTCCTTCTCTTTGTCTCAGTCAATGTTAAATACTGTATACAGCTCACCAAAGTCCAGGGAGGACAGCAGGAGTCTCTTCATTTCGACACAGTAAAAGAGCTGGCCTAATGCTACAAGTATAATCTCTGACCCTTTATTCAATCTCTTTTCATTCACATACCTACCTAACAGCCTAAAAAGACTATTTCTCTCAGCCTCCCTGACAAATAGGAAGAAAACCTGCCTGCTTAACACTACTGTTTCTCACACTCCAGAGAAGTACTGAATACACGGCTATTATTATATTTTGAATCAGAATCTAGTTTCCAGTGGGACCAACACGCACGATTTGAAACATATTCAAAAGCACCACAGTGGAGAACTGTGGAACAACTGCTCCACAGAGAAGTTCTTCTTCAGCTAAGCACAGTGGACTAGTTCAATGTGTTTACCAGGAAATGATGTACAGTTAGGATATTCATGTGAACGAAGAAGCAAGGTTAAAATATCATAGATTATGCCACAATAGACTGTTTTGCACAATACTGTCTGTTGAGGAGCCACTCTCCAGGGTTTCTAACAGAGCTATTTTTCATTGCATTCATGGCCTGGGCCTTTAATCAGAAGTTGCCAAGGACATGTCTGCAAATCAAATGTGTTACTACCAAGTCTTGATCCTTCCTCTAAAATACTACTGAAATTTTGCTCGAATGTTAGCATACAGCACAGCTTTCATAGTTTCCAAAGACCATCTAAAAGAAAGAATAAGAGATGGGAAGAGAGATATACAGTATTCATTCTTCTGTTGTACAATAGAAAGGGCAAACAAGAACTTCACAAGACACAGCTCAAAAGAAGCAGAGGAATTTTCCCCTTCCCCCACACCATACATATAGCTTGTAGGCTTCAATCATTCTGTAATATCTACATTGGGATCCTCTTATTAAAGACAATGGTACTTCCTTATTAAAGACAGTGACCAAAGTTAGCCTACTTCATCAGGTTGGGATGAAAATAAGTAATGGCAATATAAACCACAACCTTCCTAGTGCTTATATGTACAGCTCCTAAAACATTATCCTTTTGAATTACAGTACTAGTATTATGGTAAACAAAGGCCCACAAGAGATTGAGTACATCTTTGAGCATAAACATTCACAGGAACAGTACAAGTAGCAACACTAATTAGTGCCCTTACCAGTGTATTAAAACACACAAAAATACCCATACCAATGCTGCTATAACCTTTAAACTGCAGAGCTAGAAGGGACCCTTTGGATCGCTAAGTCCAGCCCCTGTCAAGAAAGCACAGTGGGGAATCAAACTGCCAAGCTCTGGTTCTGCAGCCAGATACCTATGCTATTGAGCTATCCAGCAGTTCTTAATACCCCTCTCATAACTGCAAAGTCAATTTAAACAATTCCTGTAAATTAGAGAACACATAGAGTATACAGAAAAGGAAGGGGAAAGGGCAGATGATTACACGCGTACAAGACTGAAACAAACAAAATGGAAACACATGTACATCTTCCCACAGAATGAGGTTTGCCCTCTAGGTGAGTTTCTAAAGGTCAGTCAGCTTTCTAAAACTAGTGAATATTTGTGGGGAGCAAAGATGAAGGGTAAAGCCAGTATAAATGAAGAAACACAGCTCAGACTATACCATGCCCTGGGCTCAAGGGAGCAGCAGAATACATCACTGATATGCTGTCAAAGCAGAGCATCACTTCAACCGATCACACCCCAAATCAGCAGCAGAGTCATTCCCCAGCCCAGCATGAGAATTTTCCAGGAGGAAGAAGCAAGTTGGGAAGGCTCTCAAATTATGAGATCAGGACCAATACTGATTACTACAGGCCACTACAAGTGGGTGATTCAATAGGTTTCAACAGTCCAGCAGCTGGAACAGAGAAGAAACATCAGGAACCAATAGAATGCTAAGGATGGTTCTCATCTCTTGAAAAATATCAAGATAGAACAGAGACTGACATGGAGAGGTGACTAGGGAGAAATACAGTGGAGTCCCTCCTTCTCAATCCCAGGCATGGAAACTCATAAAATATGCTGGAATATAAAATCAGACACTCCCTTTTGCTCCAACCAAGGCGTGATGAACCCAAAGCATTTTTGGCAGGTGCAGATGGCCACTCCTCCACACCACCCATTCATCCACCCCATCCTGGCAGCACAGCCCTCACCTTTTCTACATTCTCCACGGTGAATTCCAGGTTCTGCTGGAGCTGGAGAGCAGGCTCCCCTCGACGCTCCATGGTACCGGCGCGGTCCCTGTCTGAGCCTCACCCGGCAAGTTGCGTTGGGGCTCAGGCTACAGAAGGGCAGGCAGAAGGAGCAGCGGCATCTTGAGGGGAGGGAGTGGGGGGGGGAGAGAGGGGAAGAGAAAAAGCCAGCAACCCCCAGGGGAGCAGTAGGACGACCCTAAAAGAGGGAAAGGACGGTTTCTTCGCCTGTCTTCTTCGGGGAGGGAGGGTGCTTGCAGCGTGTCAACCGAGGTTTTCAAAGGGGAAGCCGGCCTGATTCTTCCCCGAAAGGTTCCTTTCTAAGCGGGAGAGGGGTCGATCCGTCTCTCTCTCTCTCTCTGCTATAAGGGGAAGCGTACGCCTGCCTCTCTCTCCCCGCTCGGCCTAGGGCGCTGTGTGCTTGTGGGGTGAGGGACACCGTTTCTACCTGCTTGCCTTCAGGTAAAGAGGATGACAAAATACGCCGCCTGCTCCCGGCAAGACTCGGGCTGAATTAAAACGACCTGCCTCCGTTCTGGCCATCTACTTCTGCCCCTACCTTCGAGGAGGGACCCTGATAAACGGCCGCTAATATTCGACGCGGAGGGAAGGGTTCGGGGGGGGGGAGAGAGAGCTGTCTGACTGTCCTTCTGCCCTTAATGGCGGAGGAGGTGCCTGTCCATCGCTTGCCGGAGGGAGGGGAGGCGAGAGGAAGGCGCTTGCCTGCTCCCCACTCACATGGCCTCTGCGCTCAGCTCTCTCTCACGGCCAGTCGGTCTCCCTGCCTGAGATGGCAACCGCCACCGAACCGCCTCGCCTCGCCTCCTCCCCCCCCCCTCGTCCCCCCCCTGCGCGCGCTCTATCCAACTAATTGACTGACAGTTGGACCGGGCACCCAGCAGGGCAACCAAAGAGCGGATGAGTGAACGTAGGGGCCTCACACGCGAAACCGAGTTGTGCACGCCGAAGGCCCGCCTGTCGGCTCGTTCGCTTGTCTTTCAGGCGCTGTTGGACACCCTCTCCCTCTGAGGCCCAATCTTGCCTTCTGGGATCATGGGAGTTGTGGTTCTGAGCGATACAGAGATGGCTACGAATGGGGCGAGGCCTAGAAACGTTTACGGGAGTCTCCCTGCCTAGCCCTGGCTCGCTCGCTCCCCCTGGTGGGAAAAATGGCAAAACTCAACTCAGGGGCTCCCATGCGATGGCGAGGACAAGATGCTGAACCTCGCGCTTCAGTAGCGGAGTCCGATGAAGGTACAGTATGTGGGAGTTGCAGTCCCCAAAAAGTAGCGCTCCTTAGCTTTGGGTAGCATAGTAGAATATCTAGATATAGGAAATTATTTATCTATTTATTTATTTTAAATATTTGTACCTCACCTTTCTTTATGTGATGACCACAACTGCCCCCTACCATGATGGCAGAGTGAGGCAGCTAATCCTAGTAACATATCTTGAACGGCATAACTAAAAATGTGAATTATTAGTTATTTTAGTTGTGCATTATTATTGCCATTTTAGCACTCTCTGTATTTTTTAGGTCACTTGTTTATGAATCTCCAAATTTTGTGCGGTGTGCTTATGTAGACGTCTAATATCTACTTACTAAAATCAGACTTCTTCAGTAACAGCCAGCCAAAGATTTATTAGGAGGCTGAAAAGCATTTACTTAACTAGCAGCCTGTACCTATGCTGCATTTGGCATGTCTAAGCCTCTTGATCTTAGAGAGCTTAGATGAGAATGGGCATGAGTCCCTGAGTCTGTAACACATCATACTATTCCAAACTTTACCTAAAATACATTTTGGGCAGCATACAATTTGCCTCATAGGGTCAGGGTCAGGATCAGTCCAGCAGTTAGGTAAGCAGCATGATTCCAGTGCATGAAAAGTTATGCCATAGTAAATGTGGTAGTCTTTAAGGTGCTGCAAAACTTTTACTGCTTTTGTTGCAATAACATGGCTACTCCTTTGGAAACCAAGGAACCTGTCTTTTGTATGAGCAGTACAGTATGGTAGTATTGACTTCTAACCAGCAAACTCCTAGCTGAACCCAAGCAGTGATTTGGAGACAGCATGTTTATTATTCAAATAAAGGCAGTGGCAATCTCCTATCACCCTTGCCCTGACCAAGCTGCTTCAACCTAAGCTCCAAGAAGGAAAACCCTGTTTTAAATGCAGACCTACTTCTGGAAAATGGGATGTCATAACAGGGATTACTTATTACAATACCATGTTGCTAAGGAAACATACACCTTTCCAAACTACTGAGGACTGAAGTTAAGCTCAAGGAGAACAGGGAGGTTTGAGGGGATGGCAGATGATGTCTCTAGTCTTGCTAATCGGAACATCTTGGCACATGAACCCTGTGAGCCCTGACTCTACCATAACATTGCTTTTGAGTAACATAATTATTGCTGCCAACTTAACCTCCCCTAGAAATGGAAAAATACAACAGCCCTACCTTTAAAACTGGGTTTAAAGACAAAACGGAACAGTACTGTACATACATTGTTAGAAGTATACAACAGCCCTACCTTTAAAACTGGGTTCAAAGACAAAACGGAACAGTACATACATTGTCAGAAGAGAATAAAATGACATGTTCTAAGCATTTCAGAGAAGGGAAGCTTTCTAGAATCTTTTTTTACCTTGTTTTCCATATTTTTCTATAATATTTCATTCACCAAGCATCTGATGCACATTTACTGCTAGAAAGATATTCGTGAATTGAATTGGTATGCATATTTGTTGTTTCTCTTCCTTCCTGATGGATATATACACAAAGACAGCTCTGCATTGCCTTAAAAGACTTTATTGCTACAGGAAGTTGCTGCTGTACAAAAATAGAGTTTATCCAAATGCAAATAAAGGGCAAAGAATATAAAATCAGGAAAGGAGGAAGAGGAAATGCCTTTGCTTAGACCAAGTGGGAAAAGATAGAAGGAACAGCTGGCCACAGGCTGGGGCACAGTATCACCATCTGCTTTCAATGGTACCCCAGGCCTGGTCCTCAGCATCATAAATAGGTGTCACCAGGAGTGTGTGTGGTGGAAACAAATAAATAAATAAGTTAGAGAATAAATAACTTTGTTTATAAAATGTCACTAGTCGGGTAGGGCAGTCCCCTCGCCTTGCTGTACCAAGTGTTGGCTGACACAGGACTCATGAAATGGCAAAGATCCCTTGCTGCTTCCAGAGCCAGCTTGACAAGTGCAGTGGCCATACTCCAAACAATTGCTGGTATGTACATTCAGAAATGTCACAAACCTGGATGTCAACACCACCATTACTTTATAGGACAAGCCTCTTCTCTAGCTGCAGATGCCTTCACATTGCAGCAGAAATGTACCCTTTATCAGCTGTGCTTCATTATTTCCTCCCTGTCCTCCAGATTCCACCTGCAAAGTCCCCAGGAGATGTTTCCCAGCAGTTGAAGGTTCTTAGAAGGAAGAGAATCCCAGAACAAAACCAAACATATGCTCTCATTCTCAAGAAGTGTCCCGATTGTCTAGTACAGGACTGATGGCAGTAAGAACAACTGGGCCTCCAGGACAGAGGGAAGGTACAAAGGAATTTTTGCAGGCTGATCCTGAAGCCCCTACTAAAGACTACAAAACTAGCCTTTATGCTCAAAACACTTGCTCTCTGATGGAATCAGAGCAAGTTGTTAGGGCAAAAGAGATATGGAGAGAACACGGCCTTCACAAACGATGGAGCTGAGCGACCCCATCAAGCAACCTATGTGTTTAATCTGGTCAAAGAAGGACTAGTGGTAAGGAGGGGCACTTAAGGAGCTACCCATTACCACCACAGGTCTCTCAATTGACATCCCTATCCTTATCTCTTGATTAAAGTTTGGGAGGTGGAGACCCAAAAGGTGAGTAAGTTCACAACACTGTTGACTGACCAGGAGAAACATCCAACCAGAATGAGCTTCTGTTACTCTCATAGGTTAGTCTGGGTTTAGTCTCGCCATCTTCTTGCAGATCCAAGGGTGGGGGTACACCATAAAAGTGTCCCTCACATATGTAGAGGAAGTCCTGGGCTCAACTTTGCTGAGAATACCACACTCCCCTCTTGTATATTGTTCCCTTGCTGCTCCCATCTAGAGTGTCCCTGCAGAGACGGAATGTCTCCTCTCTCCATGAGCCGTAGACAGGGAAAGCTCATGGCACACCAGCAACATGAGCGGGAAAAACCTGTTACCTCAGTGACACTGTGAGACCTGACCAGACAGCCCTCTCAGCCCACACAACCACACTCAGCTGCCAAGATTTGGCTCACAGTTTTCCATGCATGCCGAACATCCATGAAGGAGAAGTCTTCGTACTTGGTGGGGCGGCAGCAGGGGTGAGAGGAAGGGCGGTCGTGAGGCCCGGGCACAATGGCATGTTTCTGTAGCAAGCTACTCAAGGTCAAGTCATAGTTGGTACGGGCATGCTGGCATGACCCACTGCAGTACTTGAACTTTACAATCTCATCGGACTCAAAGCCAAGCCCCAGGTCCCGCACCTTCACCATGAGGCTGTGCAGGCGGCAGTTGCGGCCCCGGCTTCCACGCCCAGCCTTCCTGGATCCTTTCCTAGCCTTACTGGAACTGGATGGGGAGCGCTGGGCCCTGAGTAGTTCCAATGCACTCAATTCATGTATAGTCACGTTTTCGCCTAAAAGGAAAAGAAGGAGGCAAGTCAGGGGGGATTTGCCATTCTCTGAAGGAGAAAAGAAAGACACAGGAGAATGCTAGGCCCTATGAAACAAGGGAGGGAACATGGGGCTGGGCTACGTGATAAAGGTGCCCCTTCTACCCTCACTGTATCTACTCACATACTAGATGGTTTCCATTCCGCAAATTGTTGAAAACCTGTTTCCAAGGAGTGGGATAAATTGCTTTAAGAGCAGTGAAACATTAAACTAAAAAAGTAGTTCTCAGCCTTTTGTATCTTATATCCCAATAATTGCTCTATTTTAAAAAAAAACTTTAGTGCTGTCATGATATAAAAGCTCACTTTTTCCCTATGAAATGATATGTGCAGTAGTAGCAGCAGCAGTAGCAGAGCAACAATAATTCCTCTTATTTTTTTTAATTATTCAATTGTTTTACAATTTACAGTAAACTGTTGAACAGAGGGAAGTGGTGATTAGGTAAAAATAATGTTCAAAGTCACTACTAGCTGTGAGCACAAGGTCAGAAATGGAGAATCCAGGGGAGGTAGAGTTAATAGGGAGCAGAGTATCATGGCTGAAGGAGATAATGGGGACTGAAAGAAAAAAAAATATCTTAGCAACTGTTATGAAAATCTTGTGTTCCACTTAAGCTGCTTGTGTATGCTATCAGTGGCACCTATATTACTACTTAGAAAATCACTTAACTAAAGCACATGGGAGAAGGCAAGATGGAGACCATTGGGTGAACATTGAGGGAGAGCTGAAGATCCAAAAATGAAATGTTCATGACTCCCCCCTTTCACCAAGGATGTGCCAGGTTCCTACCAAGCCAGTAGCTCCATGCGCTCTGTGATGGTGCTTCCCTGCTGTTTTCCTCCACAGGGGCTGGACTAGCAGTGCCCAGACTTCCAGAGGTTGATCCCAATGTCTGGTTATGATGCCAGGTCTGTGGTGTTGCCATGACTGCCCCAGCAAACAGTGACAGCAGAGTGATTGCATTCCAAAAGCCCCGCTCCTGGGAAAAAGATGATGTCACATTCCTGTCAGCATGCTCAGAAACAAAGTTTAGGAGGGCCCCCTGAGAAACAAATGAAAGTCAAATAAATGGGCAATGTGACCTGCTAGAGTCTCAGAATTACTGATATATTTGTATACAATAATCTTCCATGAGCATTATGTCTGTCTCCCCAAATCCATGTCAGCCACGTACCCTGTCATGTGAAGAAATGAGAATTCCAAGGAGTCTGTTTCATCACGTGTACATCCAGTGAGAAGGAAGAGCCACATACAGATGCAGCAAAATAGATATGCCTGAGTTCACTACATATGGCAGCATATAAGCGATGTACTGGCAGATCTGTAAGACAACTGCCATGTGCAATGGAACCACTCAAAGCTCCTAAGAGGAGAAAGGTTGGGCTAACAATAGAAAGTAAAGAACCAGGGGAGCAACCTGTAAATGTGTGTGTGTGTGGGGGGGACATTCCATTTTTCATTCATTGGAGAGAGGTGGGATCTTCTCCCTTTGGTGAAAGTTTCTGTACCCATCCATTGTCTCTATACCTACGAAGCTCATGTCAAGAGGAACCACTGGCAAGGCCGACTCACCCTATGTTGTACCTGTTGAACAGGGGGATTCCTGTAGGTGGAGGAAGATCTGTCTGCTCTGTGCCTTGGCCCCTCCACTCTCCACTCCATCCTACCTGCAACACAAAACATTGTTCAGGAACCAAAACCCATTTTTCTGGCTTGCATAGCCTAACTTCTGCTCCTGTAACTTACTAGGTAACTCATCCACTGTGCCCAGCTCTGCACCTCTCAGCACACCAAGATTCTCTGGATAAATTATAAAGTCCAAATAAATAAAGGCATCCTTGATTACCCACTGAAGACTAGAGCTTGAGAATGTTACTTAAAAAAATAAAACTCCCAGAATGCCCCAGTATACATGAGCAGTAATCTTATTAGCAGGAAGACTCTGGGAATATTTATTCAAAAATTAATTTCTCAAAGCTCTGTATAGTTTTTTTATCCCAGCTATTTTATATTTTGGAATGTGATATATGAACTTGTTTTGGGATGTGACTACATCAGGAATGGGCCTGAGGATATGAGGCATTTCTATAGCTCTGTGTGGGTGACAGGATGGGGCTGGGGAGAGAAAATCAGCAATTTCTCTGGCATCAGCATCCACAACAAGCAGGTATTTTACAAGAGAGAAGATGAACATCACCCTAGGGAGTATATCTGTAGGGTGACTAGACATCCCTGGAACAAAAGGATTTCCGAAAGAGCTCCAACTCTGACAGGATGCAACTTGTGGAAGTTTAATCTTTGAAGACTTTGCAGTGATTCACACTTACGGCAATAGACATACTAGCACTTCAGGGGTTTGAAGTGCCTGCCTCAAGGCTTGCTACTAGAAGAAGCATTTATGAGAAGTAGTATATCCATATGGGAACTCATGGTCACAGGATGCAGTCAAAATGATTGGTTGGTTTCAGCACGTGCGCGCGCGCACGCACACACACACACCTATTTTGCAGATGATTCTGCCCCCCCCCCATTTCTGCTTCCTCTGAGGTATGTTTGTTTCCCCCATTTAGACTGTAAGAGCTTCAGGGCAGGGGCCTGTTCTCTTGCACTTTGAAAACAAGGGAAGACCCTTACAGCATCATAAATAATTATATACATAATATGCCAAATGAAGTCATGATGTCTTAGAGCACAAAGACCCTTGCCTCATGACTAAGTACTTAAATCATTCCCATTCTTCAGCTACCTTCATGTGTTAATGTTCATTGTCAGTTTTTTCTGTCTATTCAGTCCATCCACCTCTCTCTCTTTTGCCCTCCCATATTCGCAGTGAATATTTCCTCTGTATCCTTTCTAGTTGCCTAAGAAAGGGGATGTCTCTGTGTTAGAGATTTCATGCTGTGAAGCCCTGCAAAGTATCTGGGACACTTCCCATCCTCACAGCATCCTCTGACCAGCAGCCACAGGGACAGCTCCCTGGCATACTTACTATAAACAGCACTTACAAAGACCATGTGCAGAGACTGAAAGCAGAAGTCCACAGAAAATACAACAAACTGCTTTTGTTGCCTCATGATCCTCCCTTGTGAAGGTTGCTTACTCCTTGCAAATTGTCCTTCAGTTTCGCCTGCCTTTGATCTCCACATTCTTATACTGTATAGGGGAATAGCAGGAATCCCTCCTTGTGTGTGTGTGCAGAGATGCACTTTCTCAGCCCCCCGCAAGATGGCAACACAGAACCAGGATTTTACAGCTTCTTATATGACCCACACATAGATCATGAAACATGTTACATCAGTGGATGAGACAGGAATCTTGATCCTCACAGAGAGGAACCCAAAGGCACAAGATGCCTTCATATTTTTTTACAGATGGCTGTGAAAAAGAGATATTGATATCCTGGCCTTAAGTCTAGGATGCCCTTGTCTGTCCTTTAGTCACACACTGACTGCAGAGAAAGGAACGTGTTCTGAGCATCAACCTGTACAAAAGGTGGGAAGTTTGGCCTTAGGAGGTTCTCAGCCTAGTTTCAAGAGCCCCTGCAAGAACAATCTGTCTTTTTTCCAAGGGTCCTCTAGGAAAGGGTTGGGAGAAAGACAGGGAAATGGACCACCTACTTTTTGCTATAAACCTATACCCTATTGACTTCAGACACACCATCAGCACAAGGCCTCCAACACACTGCACCCCCAAGGGTATACAGCTTCAGTATACAGCTTCAGAAAAAGCTTTCCCATCCCTGCTGTAGCACATGGAATATCTTATCTCACATTTTTTTAAAAAAACTTCCCATTTGGGTCCTGAAACCAGACATATTCCAATAGGTGCCACTGAGTGCCACAATTCAAATGTCTCTTGACTTTCTTGATCTGCCACTCAGCAGATCTACATGCAAAAAAGCTTGCAAGGTCCCCAGCCATACAGAAACTAATGCACAATAGAGATTGGTGTTCATATATTTCATATCAATACAGAGTAATAACCATATGGATTGTAGAGTTTGTGGGAGTCATGAACTTCAAGCAACAATTGTAGTGGCTTCAGACAATTTCCCACTTTTTCAAGAACTTTGGGTGGGAAAACTATGCTTGCCCTGAATATCACACACACACCAATTGGTTTGACATCACTATTGTGCTTTGCACAATTATTAATGAAGAACTAGATCTGAATTCAATTCCCAGAAAAATCCAAAGAAGCTAAGAACAAGCTTCCTTAGGAAGAGTAAGTTGGTTCATTTTTTTTTACTTTGAAGAGTGAAGTTGGACAAGAAAGCCCAGAGGTGTCCTTTTAGACTCACTACTGAAGACAGGTACCAGGTATGTGCTAGCACAACTGGCAAGGGCAAGTCATGTGATACCTTTTCCAGCTCTGCCACATAGCTGTTTTCTCTTAAGTTCTAAGAGACTGGTGGTGCCAACATTCAGTGATCAGGAAGGGATATTCAGGATGGGTGCTGTGAGAGCCAAATTAGTAGGCATAGCAAACAGAGCCATTGATTCTGTTCATCACAGGCATTTACACCAACAAATGAACAGTAAGGAAGAAACATGCAGTGCTGACATCATCACTCACAGATTATGAAGCTTTCTCTGAGTCAATGCAAGGATAGTGGTACCTCAGGCTATTACAAGTTCCTCAAGCCTCCCCCGAGGATGAATATATAAAAGATAGGAGGAGAAAGTCATCTATTTATGGTGCCTTGAGCTGTCCTAATAAGTGACATGGCAACTGTAATGCAGCCATTGCAGAATTGCAGGAATTTCTGAAGGAAGTTACTTTGAAGATGGATGTTTATTTTCCAAAATCAAGAGATGTTACCAGCAAAGCCTTATTTGAAGTTGGTGAACAGCCAATTCACATTTGCATCTAATCTTCTCTCACTATGTATGCATCCTGCTTACTCCATAAAACATCATGACTATGCTATGAGGCCCTTTAGTGGCTAGATGCATCAATCAATTCCTGCATTTTGGAGACTCATCTCTAGACACAAATCAATTTGTGAAGTAGTCTAATTTGTTTTAAATTAATGCACCCCAAAATCCCATAAACAGGAGCCACGAGAATCAGTAAGACAGCAGGGTAGAGAAGAAACTGCAACATAATGCCACTTTACTCCAAACAAGAATCACAGGTACATTTGGGCTATGGAGCTACACAAAAGCCATTCTAGGATGGGTGCCAAGCAGTAAAGTAGAGTGGGACAGTTTACTCCAGTGGTAATGGGAACTGGACAACACATTTTCACTGCATTATGGGGCATGTTTACCCAAGGCTAAGTCCTGCTATGTTCAGTGATGGTAACTCCTAAGTAGGTGTGCAGAGGACTCCAGACTCAGCATTAATCAAGGTCTGGAGATGTCAAGAACCTCCTGCAATTCTTTAGTTCTCTCTGGAAATCTGTGGAACATGTCTGAAAGCTGTTTGGTGTGCCTATAATCCATAAGAAAATATGGCCTCATTATAGGCCTGGGCTGGAAGCACCATGAGTTTTAAATAAATCCAGATGGGCTACTAGAGATGTTCCAGAAGACCACTGAACATCCCTTTCTCATCAGGGCAAGAGGAGAAGCTGATTTTGGGAAAGGACCCAGCCAAGATGTACAGTTCTTTACACACAGGAGTCTGTACATCTCCCAACCCTAGTTCCTTACACGCACCACCAACTTCCAGATTTCTCTCTCTGGATTATCATCTAAACAGGAATCGACAGCCAGACGTGACCGGAGGGAGACCTCGCTAAAGTGAAGGGAACCCGAGGTAAGAGCGCGCCTAAGATGTGAATTTGCCTCCGGAATGAAGACACCGGAGGCTCGCTCCGCAGTACAGCACTTTGTCCCGCCCGTGGGGGAGAACCAACGCCGCCAACCCGCCCCCCAAGTCAGCCGAACTACTTCTTACTCTGCACCAACCCCCCGGCCACTCGCATCTGCCATGCTGCCTCCTCTGTCGCCCCACCTCCCACTTTCCAGTCCGCCTCACCACTCACCGTGCGCTCCGTCTCGGCAGACTGGGCGCCTCTTGTTGGGCGCAGCTTTGCCGGGACCATGCTCCGAGGATCCGGGCCGGGAAACGCCTCCCTCTGCCCCCGGGTACCGGCCCTTCCAGGGCATCGAATCCGCTCCCTGCGCCAAAGATACACGGTCACTGGTGGCCAGCTTTAAGCGATAGGGAATTCACCCCCCTCCCGGAACGACTATGGAGGGCGGCCCGTTCCCTCTGCCAGATCGTTTCTCTCCCCTTTGGGACGGATCCTGGGACAGAAACACATTCGAGCGCACCTCCCCAGCCTTCACTTCCCTCGGGATCTGCCGATCGCCAGCCCCTTCCCTGTCTTACCTCCCGGAGGCGGCGGCGGCGGCTCTTCGGAGGCTCTTGCGCTCAGCCGGCCCCGGGGGCCATGGCCCGGCCCTGCCGGGATCGCTCCCTCGGGCGCCCGATACTCACGTCGTCCACATGGCCAACAGGTGCCCGGCTGGCTCAGCGCCCCCCTGCGGGGAAAGATCGGGTTAGAGCGGCTGACCAAGTCCTGGTCAGAGTCGGGCGGGCAGCCCCGATCCAGTGATCCCCATCCACGCCGGGCCGGACTCACCGCACGCGGCAAGGGAAGGAGCCAAGGGGGCGCGCAGTAGCAGCCGCCGCCGTCGGCGGCAGGACTTGGACCTGCGGCCGGCAGGACTCTGGGGCAAGCGGCCTCTGGGAGGGAGAACAGCACCGGCTCCATCTCCGCTCCGGACAGACTCTGGCGGTATCAAATTCCAGCCGCCGCTGTCACCTGATCCCCAAGGCGGGGCGGGGCTGGGTTCGGCCCGAGAGACAGATCCGCGGATGGGACAGTCACCCTCCAGATCCCGGGTCCTTTCTCGTCCTCCCCCACCCCAAACTCCTTTTTTTGCCGCCGCCGCCGCCGCCTTCCCTGGCGGGGCCAAGCGAAATCGACACAGACGCCGCCCACTTGACGCCACCTGGGGGTGCCGAGTTCTTGGACTCTCCGTGCAGGGAACATTTTGAACCCAGCCAAGCAGCGCCACACGCCTTGACCCGCAATCCCCAATCCTCCCTACCTCGGTGCCGAGAGAGAAGTGGCGGTGGCCGATGGGGCGCACATGGCAGGATTGGGCGCAGCACAAAGAGAAAGAAAGAATGCGTGCAATGGTCTCTCTCTCTGGGCAGATTAGCAGGGAAACCGCGGGTGGGTGAGTTCGTGCGGATTTACACTAGTGACAAGAATGCCCACTGGAAACAGGGAGAGCCATCTGAAGGCTCGCAGGAAACAAGGGGAGCTGTTAATCCCCGTTGGCATGCCTCAGCTCCACTGGAATAAAGAGACGTTACAAACAAGCTACAAGCAAAGTGAGGAATGGATTCTGAGAGAGAATGGAATTACTCCCAAGGAAAGACTACATCACCCTTCCTCAACTGTGTACCCTCCAGATACAACCCCCAAGCACTCTGCCAAAATCAGCATGGCCACTGGGGGTGGTGAGAGCTGTACTCCAACGCATTTAGAGGTTGAGGAAGACTGGCTCACACCAGCACCTTGAAGACCTATTTAATCGAAGTGAATAATCCCTTTACGATGCAGATTGCAACCATTCCATTCTTCCTTCCTATGGCCAACAGCCATCCTTCAAATGATGACCCTCTCCAAGCTCAAAGTTCTCCACCAAGTAACACAAGGCTACTGGACGATACTCCGCCTTCCTAGCCTGACAGGACTGACAAGTAGAACGTTCATTCTGCTTATGCTCTACTAGCATAGCCTTCAGGAACTCAGGGGGCCCTGCACAGCAAGATGGGGCAGTAGAGTAGGATTTTGTAACAAGTCCACATTGAAATTGAAAGCAGCAGGACAAGAGGAAGACCCAATACAAGATGGATTGACACCGTAAAGGAAGCCACAGCCTAGAATTTACAACAGCTGTGTGGAGCTGTTGAAGACAGGACATTTTGGAAGTCACTCATTCATAGGGTCACCATAAGTTGGAGGCAATTTGACAGCACATAACCACTACCACTTTGAAAGGGAGAAATTATGGAGTGTCAGAACCTGACAGACTGGAATTGTGGTTTATGTGGATGGAATGCCACACATGGGACTCCAGTAGGTATTCCTGTCATTAATTTCAGGTACAGTCCCTGGGCTGTAACATTGCAGCCCTTAGGAGGGAGCTCTTAGGTGACACAGGAGTGAGGGTGGATTTTGTCCCTTCCCTTCCCTTACCCACAGCAGCTGATCCTCACAGTCACAATGCCCAATGAGGACCATAAAGAGTCCTGAGCCAAATTAAAAGCAAACATCTTATATTTGGTATGTGTTCAAAGAATGCAACCCACCACGTCAGATAATGTGATACTGTTTTTTCTGCAATAGGCTACCCCACTGGAAATTAACATAACAAAGTTGTGCACACAATAAAAGCCTCTCAGAAAGAGAGAATGACCAAACAAGTGATTGTTCTTGCATCTGGGGAGGGGGAAGTAGAGAGCAGCCCCCAGTTACCCAGTGCTGTCAAAACCTCAAATGGCTGTTGCATCACAGCAGAAAGGGTCATCTGCCCTGGTGAGCATTGTCTTCCTCAACTGAGGATGCCTCAGCAGTTCCCCAATATGCTAAGACTGGGGCTGATCCTGCCGACAGAACCATGGGGCAATCGGCTTGGGATGTTGCTCTGCCCACTTTCACTGTTGCTGGGTACAGATGTTCCATTTTCTACTTCCAGGTGCCCAGAAGCTCTTATAGTGGGAGCAGTTCTTAGTTGCAGGGCACTGTAGCTGGTGGGGATGCAGCCAGGTCACTTTGCAAAACAGACACCCACCAAACTGCTCTCTCTGGTTCTATGGGCAGACACAAGGACCCCCCTGTTGTTAGGCAGGGACAGTGGAAGCAGTACAGTGGAAGCAATACTCTATATTCCCATCCATTCAACAGCACATACCCTCCTACCCTTTGATTTACTCTAGACAAAGTCCTCTCTAGAATGGCTCTGCTTTTGCTGGGAAACACACCCGCCCACACCCGCCACCCCAAATAGAACAGAAATCTAGCAAACACCTCTTTGGGCTGTCTAGTTTTTGTACTCTCTACCTTGACTGCTGGCAGACATACTCCAAAAACAAAACTCTTTCCCAGGCCTATCTGGAAATTCCAGGGGTTGGATGCGGGACTTTTACATGTAAAGGACATGCTCTCCCACTAAGCTATGACCCTTTCTTGCTGACAGAGGGCTGGGCCTATGCTGGAAATCATCACTGGCATTCTCCACATGTCCCACAAACCCTCTCCTCACACCAGGCAGATGATGGATTAATTCACTCCCACATAGCCGCCGAGAGTAGACCATGCTAATCTGTTTGTGGGCACACAGCCCATTTCTTACCTCCAGCCCTCTGTTCCACTTTGTGCTTCGCCTGCTTGCAGGTTAAGGGGCTGCAATGACTTGGCTCAGCAGAACCTCCCCTTAGGGTTCCCCACTGGCCTCTCCTCTTGGCAGCCTTGGCCAGGGATCTGTCCCCGGCTGTCTTACAGGCTTCCCTGACAGTGAAGGGCACCAACGAGCATCCAGGTCTGACATCCCCTCCTCTTCCTGGCCTGCTGTTGCACATAAGCCCCTTTGCTCGGTTTCTTGCTGGCTGCACTTGCCCTCAGCTGCTCTCGCTTGCCTCTAATTAGCTCTTCCAATGAAGTGAGCCAAACGGGGTGCTGCTCTTGGCACAGGATCTAAACTGGCATCACTTGACAAATTGCCAACACAATCTCTTTGGGCTTATATAATAATTCTTTGCTCTGAAGCCTAACTGGACACTGATTAGTGGTTTCCACTGCTGGACTGCAAACAATCCTGGGGTATGCTTCCACACCTCACCCTCCTTCCCATCCGCTCCGCCTTGGACCAGCTATATATAGGCCAAGCATTATTTACTCTGAGCCACATAGGATCTTACCCGTGAGTGCATTCTTTTAAATCCGTTAGGATTATCCTATATGACAGCTCCATTTCATTAAAAGTGTAGCCACTCCTCCCTTGCTTACACTTGCCATGAAAGGGTTTTAAGTATTATACCTCCAAGTAAACCGTTTGCTAAAACAGCCCTCTTTTTGGCAAATTTTAGCAGAACAGCACATCTCTTTTAGACCCATCCAGAATGTAATGGCAAACATAGCCCAACTCGTACCTAGAAGGGAGGATCCGGAATCTTGTACTGCTTGGGTTCTGAGGTGGGAGGGTCCAAGGTATTGCTTTCCCTGCACCAGCACAGGGCACGTTCCACTCTATGCATAACTGAAGAGTTACACACACGAGAGTGTCGTATCCTTATTTTGCTGCTTCTTTTGCAAAAAACAAAAACAAAAAAAAAACAGCTCAGGCACTATACATTGGGTAGTCTTCTGGTTCCAAGCCCAGGCTTGTTCCTGCATCTTAATTTAGATTAATGTTTATTGTCTTGTGCATAAGTCATAATAAGGTTAATTTACTGCATATTTTCTCAGTCAGTCTCACTGAGGGTTTGGCTCTTCCCCTCCCTGAACAGTTTCTCTTCAAGTCGGTAATTCTATAAGCAACTATGAGAACTGGTGCCTTTACTTCACCTTTCCTCCCTATCCTTTTTTCTTTTTGTGTCATGTCTTTCAGACTGTAAGCCTAAGGGCAGGCCTATCTTGCTTTTAATCAGGATACACTGCTTAGCAAATTATGTGCAAATTATAAATTATTGCAAATACTACTGTTACTACAAAGTAAAGAGCATTAGGAGCAGGGATTAAGAGGATTGTACTAACAAGAAGATATTTCAGTCTGATGTACAATAGTTATGCTGAAAGAATCCAGTTTCCCCAAGGTCTCAATTTAGTAATTTATATATATTTTCTCATGCTTTTTGGTCACTTGGAACTGTTGCTACTGTTTTATATTCAGGGGATTTTTAGTCCCTGTGTTGATTTTGTTACCAAAAACAAAAACAGATCAGATCAGTGTATTATAAGCCATTTTGTGTATTCTAGAAATGGAAAGTAGGGAAAAATAATATTCTAAATTGCAGTCTTCATAATGCGTAAAACTGAAGACTTCTTTAAATAAGAAGGTACATTTATTTTGGTTTGGTCACAGAAATATGGTTGTGTATAGACTTTATGACCTGAATCTTGGAAGAACTCCTTCTGTGGTGCAGACAGCAAGAAACACACATACATGACAAATGCAACAGCAGCACCTGTAGAGAGAATAAGATAATTTGCATCTAAAGGCGGACACCAAAACAGTGTACATCCTGTACAGGACCACATATATTTTCAATTGAAGCACATTGATGATGATGATGATGATGATGATGATGATGTATTGGATTTATATATCACCCATCTGCAGCACAAGGCCACTCTGGGTGGTTTACATCAAGTCGATGGCACTGGAGGTGAATAGAAACATCCTTTTCTAATATCTGGTCTAAGCTGACTTGAGTCATAGGACATTACGACATACATCACATTGAACCTGGTTAGTTTGTTTGTGCAGGGCAGAAATTATTATTTTTTCCCCAAAAAACCCAAAGCCTGTAAAACAGCCTCTTTTAAAAATGTAACAGAGCCTTGTGGTACCTTAAGGACTAAAACAGGGAACAAATTTGTGTAGGCAGTCCCTTTCATCAGATAGATACCATGTTATCTTGAGCTGTAGGTATATATAAACATGGTAGTAGTACTGGAGATTTCCAGTTTATCCTAAGCCAGCACAGGAACCTCTTTGCTTCCAAACAGAATTTTGTCTAAGAAAGAGGCTGTAACAGATCTTAACAACTTAGTAACAGAATAACATTAGTAGTCACCTACAGATCACACTTGAGACCACTAAGTAGTCACCACCAGTCCTTTCTGGACAATAATGCTTCTGATATCAGGCTTTGAGGGGTCAACTCATACTTGCCTATAGGCAATCTCGTAACCTTAAATGATTACCAACATAGAACAGGCAAAACACCATGGTGGAGATGGCAATCCCGTCACAAATCTGCCAGTTATGCCCCCATATGTACACTGGCACCACTATCAAGGGTCCCAACAATGTCATCCACCACAACAGGGGTTATTTTACTTGTTCATCTTCTAATGTGATTTATGCCATCTTTTGCCAGCAATTAGGATTAGGCATCCTTCAGTCTCGAGAGACTGTGGTAACGTGCTCTGTATGGAGGACTTGGAACAGTGTCTAGTGTGGCTGAGAAGGCCAATTCGAGAGTGACCATCCCTTCCACACTGAAGACAAATCCAATCTGTCCTCTGTCCAGCTCCCTAATTTGGCTGCTTTCGGGACTGCCTCTTTGCCTCGGCCTGTTGGACAAGGGTCTCTTCAAATTGGAAGAGGCCATGCTGCACAGCCTGCCTCCAGGCTGAACGCTCAGACGTCAAGGTTTCCCATCTGTTGAGGTCCATTCCTAAGGCCTTCAGATCCCGCTTGCAGATGTCCTTGTATCGCAGCTGTGGTCTCCTTCTGGGGCAGCTTCCCTGCACTAATTCTCCATATAGGAATCTCGCTTTTGGAGTCTGACCATGAGCCATTCTCACGACATGTCCAAGCCAACGTAGACATCGCAGTTTCAGTAATGTACACATGCTAAAAATTCCAGCTCGTTCTAGGACTACTCTGTTTGGAACTTTGTCCTGCCAGGTGATGCTAAAAATGTGTCAGAGACAACGCATATGGAATGTATTCAGCTTCCTCTCCTGCCATGCATGAAGGGTCCAAGATTCACTGCAGTACAGGAGTGTGCTCAGGACACAGGCTCTATAGACCTGGATCTTGGTATATGCCGTCAGCTTCTTATTAAGCCATACTCTCTTTGTGAGTCTAGAGAATGTGGTAGCTGCTTTGCCAATGTGTTTATCCAGCTCGACATCTAGGAAGACAGTGTGAGAGATGAGCCAAGGTACACAAAATCATGAACTATCTCCAATTTTTGTGTGGAGATGGTAATACAGGGAGGTGAGTCCACACCTTGACCCATGACTTGTGTTTTCTTCAGGCTGATTGTTAATCCAAAGTCTTGGCAGGCCTTGCTAAAGCAATTCATGAGTTGTTGGAGGTCTTCAGCAGAGTGGGCAACAACAGCTGCATCATCGGTGAAGAGGAAGGCCTGCATGCATTTCAGCTGGACTTTGGTCTTCGCTCTCAATCTAGAGAGATTAAAGAGGTTTCCATCAGATCTAGTCTGGAGATAGACACCTTCTGTTGCAGTTCCAAAGGCGTGCTGCAGCATGACAGCAAAAAAGATCCCAAACAGGGTCAGTGCAAAGACACAGCCCTGTTTCACTCTGCTTCAGATGTCAAAGGAATCTGATGCTGAGCCATCCAAAACTACAGTGCCCTTCATTTCCTCCTGAAAGGACCTGATGATGTTAAGGAGTCAAGGTGGACATCCAA